AAAAAACTGAGATTCTAAGTTTCAACAAATACTAAGCGCAGTGCACTGCATGCATCTATTTTAGTTGTACGCGCTCATAACTGCCCTTACCTGTCTTTTTACCGATTATTATGGTCACCATCAATTCGTCTTATTATTTAACATTCATATAAAATACTCAGCGCAATACACAACATACAATTCATACGCCTAACTTAAATTCCATTCTTTTCCTCAGGTTGTTGGAGTTTGGGTGGGTGGTACTTGCGAAAGCGTGGGTGCTTATGCCCTCTCTATTGTGTTCCTTTCTACCTTCTTTTCTATGTAGACTCCCCGGTACCATACCGGGTTTTCCTACGAAATTTCGTTTTTCTTCAATCTCGGCGGCTAGACTTGCGTACCTCTTAACGCAGAAACTCAGAATGGTTCACAGAGGAGGCTGGCACAGACGGAATTGCCATAGGGCCACGTACAAGCAATATCCGGTCTTAGAAATTTCACCTTCGGCGTGCTGTATCTCGCAAACGGTTGGATCTACGGCTTTCTCGATGAAATTTTTAAAGATCTCTCTTAATGCAGAGACTCAGAATGGTCCATAGAGGGAGGAGGCTGGCACAGATAGAATTGCCATAGGGCCACGTACAGGGAATATCCGGTCTTGGATTCTGAAAACACGCGAAATTTCAATGTCAGCGGGCTGTATCTCGCAAACGGTTGGATCTATGGTTTTGTCGTTAAAATTGACAGCATTAATGACAGCTTTAATGACGCTCAGTGTATTTGCACCAGATACATTTAGCGGGGCTAAATGTTTGCACGGACTAACGTCCCGAACTCGCAATGCTGGCCTGGCTTTTCGTCGTTTGATTAATTGTTGCCTTGCGTTTCAATGCGTTGGATAGCGCCAGCGAGTGCATCGGTATAGTCTGTGCTAACTCCATGTAACAAAATGCAGCGCAGCATGCAACTGCGATCCCTCGACGGAAATCCTACTGTAGTCGAGAATGCCGCGTAGGTAGTATAGTTATAGGTAGTAGAAAAAGTGTATTAATCCGTATGTGTGCGAGAGAGACGCACTTAGAGGCCTGCTGTGCTAATGAAACGTACGCTTTAGAAGCATTACAGGGAGCGTCAACGATATCCTGAAATGCGAGCAATTGTCGTGCACCGATCAGGCTGCATCGTTGACGAACCCTGTACGAGTTGTATTTGACAAACCTGTCGTAGGGGGGCATCACTTATGCCAAGATGTGCTGGAGCGGAGTGGGGGTACTCGGCGTTATACAAAGAATGTATTATTGTTTCAGAGGTCAGTCTTTCGAGAGCCGTTCTCTTGGAAACCGCGTTTTGCCGGTCTTCCTTCCCCCTTCCCCTCTCTCCGCAAATACATCGCAGTTGTGATACATTCATCGATTCTTTGTCTCTTTTGTTCATCTACATTCAGTATTCTCAAAATCATTTCTTTGAGGCTCTTCGCCTCGGGCCTTCAGCCCATTTCATGCCATTTCCTTCTATACTCTTTATCCTTTACCTACATTTACGAAAAAAAAGTGTGACGTAGTGCGTCGCGAAACGTCTGTTTCTATCTGTGTTTCGCTACGGTATAGAAAGTTCTCGCTCGTGTAGTT